TGTGTGTATGTGTGTGTGTATGAGAGAGAGAGAGAGAGAGAGAGAGAGAGAGAGAGAGAGAGAGAGAGAGAGAGAGAAGGAGGGAGAGAGCGAGCATTCTTTGGCAATAGAGTCTTAGATAATTTTCATATCTTGTCTATATGAATAATGTTGCAGTGTGTTTGGGTGAAGTTTTGGTATATTTTCTTTGGGTGTTTACTAGCAGAGACATTGCTGGGCCATATTTTAATTCTAGTCAATAGATGTTGAGCACAAAAAAACAGATAACTTTGGAAACAATGGAGTTATAATGAGAAGAAAATATATTTTTGTAAAATAAATTTAAAGGCAAATGAATTGCTATCAAAAAGGGGTTTTAAAGCCTATCAAAAAGTTGTATTAACTTTCTGTAAAAAGATAATAAAAACACATAAATTGAGAGTTGTCAATAAGAAAGAGACACAAAACATGTTAATAAGAAAAAAGATGACAGACCTTAATTAATCAGATGTTGCAGTGAAGGTAAATTCAATATGAAGTTCAAGTTTTGGATCCCAAGTACCATGATAATTATGCTGCAATTCACAGGAATGAAAAGAAAGAATATTCATAGGAAAATGTTTGTGTGGTTTTCATGTGTTGAATAAACTATAAAGCACACAAAACATGCATGGATAGATGGACAGATAGACAGACATATGGATGGATGGATACATGCATGCATGCGTGCATGTATGGGTGGATGGCTTCGTGAATGAATGGAAATTTTGTGGGTGGTTGAATGATGGGTAGGTGGGTGGATGGATAGAGGAATGAATGGGTGGGTTAGTGGGTGGATAGATGGAGGAATAGGTGGGTAGATTAAAGGATGGAGGGATAGATGGATAGATGGATGGAAAGATGGATGGATGAGTGGATGGATAAGAGAATGTGTTTCAGTATTTCAAGAGAGAGGAAATGATCTTGAGAACTATTTGGCATAAATACAATGGAGCAGTAAGGAAGGATAACGGTGGACTAGAAAGAAGCAAATAAAAGGGTGACATAAGAAGTTTCCATATAAAGAAGTGAAGGAAATTAAATGAACTCTAGTAAAGGAGGAGGCAGCAGCAGAGATGCCCAATGGAGGCATGGGAAATATGCTAGGTCCACAGTCAGGGTTAAATGCTGCAATAAAAGAAAAGGAGTTTTCCAACTTAGGAACTAATCTTGTACATTTGATTTAGGTAGATGCTGATAACCCACGAAGACTTTCTCTCACACAAATGATGGAGGCAGGCACCAACTCTGTATACCTCAAAACTCCTTTTGATTCTGATATCTATTAAGTCAAAGGGAGATGCTGTACTATAACATTAAAATAATGGTCATTTATATAACATTCAATATTCCATCGTGTGTTCTGTTCAGGAATTCTTCTTGTATGTGTATTCAAAGGCACCCACATAATAGTAGATTCCTAGAGCAGCTAAGCAGCCAAATTGTCCATCAGTGCCATCATCACTGTGTGTATTAGGAGACTAGGTTTCTCAAACAAGAGTCAATGGGACTGGCAACAGGTAGAGCCTAGGAAACTCAATCTTATACCTATAAGGACTGAGGACTATGACTGAGGTAGTTCCAAGGCATATCTACAAGGAAATTTGGGTGGGGTGACGATTTCCTCATTTTATGGAATGCCTAATTCTGAGACAGAGGAATAGACTAGCCATTCTACCACCCGAATAATTGATATTGCATATCATGATATAGAACAGAAATAGTTTCTTCTAAGACCACACTGTCTTTAGCAACTTTGCAATAGCAATTTATAGTAATATGAAAACATGGTAAATTAGCAAAACTTTGGGTTCAAAAAGGTTTCTCTCACACACCAATAGATAAAGCATGCTGCCTCCTCTCATGCTGACATTTTTTGTCAACACAATCTGCTAATTATTCAGGATAACATTTTTCATAATTGGCAAGGCCATGCCCCCTGCATGGACTTTCTCAGTAAATGTTGAAAATTGCTAAATACAATTCGTGTGATTTATTTTTGTCAAATGACCTTATTAGTGCTTCTCCTGCTGAACTGTGTTTGTGGGTGGACGTGGGCATGAAAATTCAGTCTTGACTTTTTCAAGAAAGAAGTTACGTAACTTTACACTTCATAAATTTAACAACCAAAATGTTATCTGTAATAAGTGTTTCGAGGAAGCACTATTTACCACTGACTGGTTTGATGGAAGTTGATTAGATAATGGTTTTTCATCTGTGTGTTGTCACTGATATTGGCCCCATTCCAGTTGGCTGCTAAGGTGTCTGAACACTCAAAAATCAAAATTACCCATAAAGCTTGTGACAGCATCCTCTGGGTTCATGGATACAGATCACTGAACATCTGGATGGGTTGTTCTGGCTGAGTTTATAATGTCATATCCCTTGTAAACACAATACACCTGTCTCTCAGTTTAACAGACAGTTTCTAAAGCTAAAGCATTTGTTTTTCCTGGGAAATGAGTCACAACACATTATTTACAAATATTAAACCCAGGAGTCATGGAAACATTTCAGTATTTCACTTATTTTATCCTCAGACATAGTAACCCTTCAATAGAAGAAAAATTTGCCTTATGTTGGCACTATGGGGAATCTAAAAGGGAGATAATGAAAACATCAAATAATTGATGAATTCCTTTTCCTTTTAGAGAATAAAGGCGAGGATTTGTAACTATTTTCATTCTCCATCTCTTGAAATTTACTTCTGCCTTCCATGTTACAAAGGGTTGAACAACAAACTTTCTATGTGCTCCCACTAATACAAGGAGGTTCACAACAGACTTACCCCATTACAGAGCGTTCCCCCAACAGTACACTATTCTGGAGGAGCTCGCAACCCACTGCAAAGGACAGAATGGCTGCACATGAGCAGGTACCACACTGCCAATGAATAGATGTCAATCACGTGCCAAGGGGAAAGAAGGCGGGTGAAAACTGACAGGTGCCTGGGTTGGGAACAAGAGTGAAGGCCACCCTTTGATTTAAGTCCTGATCTGCTGCCTTCCAAGTCACTCACTGGAGCTACTCTGACCCTCATTTTAAATCATTGACTCGAAATGAGCCACTTTATTAGTTTTCCAGATTCATTTCCACCGCACCAAAAGCTGTATATCAGTCTTTCACTCCCCGTCCCCTTGTTCAGATGCTAGACCTCAAATATGAGTATTATTGCCAAGGTGCACACAGGCTCACCCTTGTCATTATACATTGGTTAACATCAGCCAAGGTAGTTATACAGGGAAGGAAACCCACAAGGCTCCAGTTGTCAACACTGTTCACACATTTGGAGGTGGGGGTTGAATAATCTCAGGCTTGTAAGTGTAGTGCATTTAAAGCTGTTTAAGAAAGCAACGTGAAAAACAAATAATTCATAAAGAAGAAAACACTTTCAGGAATTTTTTGTGATGATAGGCTCTCACACTCATAATCCAATGTTAATGCACTTAAAATTGACCATAGATCTTCTCATAATTCACTTTTTTCCATTCCATATACCTTTATGGAGCACTTGTTATCTGCCAGGTTCTCTGATAGATGCTGGGTACACAGACTTGAACAAATCAGTCTCTGCACCCAAGGAATCTGCATGCTGATGAAGAAGAGACAGAGACAAACCGTGGAGAAGTAGAGCCATGATTGATTATATAGGAGCACAGACCAAGGAAAGAAAGGGAGCCAGGAATATACAATAAAGAGCAAACGCGGAATGCATGAAACCAGAGGTCATCTCATTAAGAGAAGTACACTGGATACAGAAAGACAAGTTTTTTTCCCTCATATGTAAAGGAGAGAACTTAAAACAAAAACACTATAGTGAAAACAGTGAACAGAATGAATTCAAAGGGGAGGGGAAGAGAATGCAAAAGTAAGAAGGGCAGATTGACTGAAGCATGACAATAAGCATGTATAGAAATGTCACCGTAAATCCATTAATATTTATAACTGTACAAATTGATAATTATCATGAAGGACAAAGAGAAGGCAGGAAAAGAGGTCAACACATGTCATAAGTCCATAGAGGCACAAGAAATAGTATCGCCCTTTCACAAACAAGAACCCAGTGGGGGATAACCTGGGATAAGAGCAGAGAGGAGCTGGTGTGCACCCAACATTTGTTCGCCCAGATTCATGTTGAGCTCCTGCTCCCTGGGATGATGATATCAGGAAGGGCCTTGGTGTGGTGGTATTGTGTTCCCCAAAATATTGTGTACCCTAATAAACTTATCTGGGGTCAGAGAACAGAAAAGCCACTAGATACTTAGGATAGGCAGTGATAGCACATGCCTTTAATCCTAGCATTCCAGAGGCAGAAATCCACGTCTTCAAGGATACAGCCAAGCATGGTGACTCATCATGCCTTTAATCCCAAGAAGTGAGCCTTTAATCCCAGGGAGTGGTGGCAAAACCAGAAATATATATAAGGTGTGAAGACCAGAAACTAGAAGCGTTTGGCTGGTTAAGCTTTTAGGTTTTGAGCAGCACAGTTCAGCTGAGAACCATTCTGGATGAGGACACAGAGGTTTCCAGTCTGAGGAAACAGGATCAGCTGAGAAGTTGGCCAGGTAAGGTTAGCTGTGGCTTGTTCTGTCTCTCTGACCATCCAGCATTTCACCCCAATAACTGGCCCCGGGTTTGATTTTATTAATAAGACCTTTTAAGATTCCTGCTACACCTTGGAGTGTGGTTTAAGCATGGAGCTGCATGAATGAATGTTCTCATGAAAGCATCCCTTCAACTCTCTGGTCTCTTTAAAGCTTCAGTGTGACGACTAAGAAGAAGTCAGCCGTCTGCATCCCAGAAGAGAACACTTCCTCAAAGCTCATGGTATCATACCTCCATCTCAGACTTCCAGCTTTTATTCTTCTGTTTATAAACCAGGCAGGCTATTTCATACACTGAAGACAAGAGATTAGAAATGCTCTATTTTATGCATGCATTAACGCCCACCCCATTTTCAATGCTATGAGGCCATTACTTACCAAATCTAATAATTTTTTCAATATTTTGACGTCTGTGGCTCAGTGATGGCGTCAATCTGTGCGGAATATAAAAGTACAAACTCTGTGACTGGAAAGAGCAGCTATCCCCTCTCTGTACCTCTAGGGCCTGGTGGTACTCTAAAGTTTTGATTTATAGGACAATTAAGGAAATAGTGGTTCTGCGCCTTCAAAGAGAAGAACTGCATGAATGTAAAGTTATTCACTTTTAACTAAATTATTGATCTTGCAAAGAAAATTCTGCCAAGCTATTTCCTCTCAGTGCCCTGCAAAATTGAAATTTTTGTTTCAGTCAACATAAACAACTTCCTAAAATGACCAAGTGACTTTAAAATGATTGTTTCTGATTCACTCCATTATTCAAATTATTCAGTTCTCTAGAAAATTCTTTCATTCCCTCCATAAAAGATAGACTGGAAGGCCTTAACTAGAAGTGAGGAAGTGGTCATGGGGGAGCACATATATTCACCAACGTGATGTGTATGTGAAGGCACACAAGAGACTGAAATACCTTGGCTTGTCCCAGAACAATAACTGTGTGCATAAATATTGGCAAGTAAACAGCAAGTGAGAACCGAAAGCACCCTTGCTGTGGGGCTCTGCTGCTTATCCACCCACTAAAGAGCATCAGCCTGTCTCCCCTGGGGGTGTTCAAGCACCCTGAGCCAAACAGCAAAGCAAATGTGCCTGTATCTGCCAGTGTCGCCTCACCTTAAGAAACCCCTCCCTGGCTTCTCTGCACTCTGCTGGGCTCCTGAAGCCCTCTGATTCCTGCAGCTGAAGCTCCTGTTTGCTCTTGGAACTGTTTGATCACTCAAGGGCACAACAGAACAGCGTGTCGCTCTTGCCTTTTTGGCACTGGCTTGAAGTTCAGCAGTAGGTGGTTTCTCACCAGTTTGGCTCTAGCTTTAGGACAATGAGTGACAAGATGTTAGTTCACACAGCACGACTTATGTAACTTACAAAAGGAAAAAAGATCAGGCTGGAGGTTTGTTCAGCAAATCAGCAAGATTTTCAAAACAAGAATAAAAGTCTTTTCCCTGTGTCCCAAGATAAAGAGGGCTTGGCCAAACTACTAAAGGGAGACTCAGCGCGAAAAATGAGTCAATGTGGAGAATGCCCTTTTGAGGCTAATGCCATTCAAAACAGCCAGAGCGGGTGCCCTGAAGATGTCTTTTGTGAGGAGAGAAGTTACAAACGAAATATTATTTATCAGGGTGTTGACTCACTGAAACAGTTCTCATATGACTATAAGCAATTTAAATCTTTTAAAAAAAAAAAAAGTCTACCCCAGTACATCAAAACCTACACAGAATAATTTTGTTGAATCCTAATAAAACTGATGTAAATGTTTGCTTCTTGCTTAGAGGGATTTTCAGCTCCACAGAAAAATCATTGCCAGAAAGCCAAATATCTCTTAAACTGAGAGCCCATGGCTGTTCTTTGAACTTGGGAATTGATGTTTTTGAGGTTTGCCTTGTGCTTTATCAGCATGGCTGTGGGAAGTTGCATGATCATTGCTGAAACACAAAGTCGAGATGTCTCAAAGAGCTATGACAATTTGTTCATATTGGGCTCTTCCTCTTTCTTGCTTAGACAGAAGAGTCATGGTTTAAATAAAATTTCCAGAATTGTCCAATGTTTGTTTTCTTTTATTTTTTTTTCTGGGGAGGAGGAGGAAGAGGAGGAGGAGACAGCCACAACAGACTTTATACAGGTCTGCAATGCTAATCTCAATATTCATTCCTAATTATGTTGGAGTCAGTTTCTTCTACCTTTAAGAAGGAGTTAGGTTTTGCTAGGCAATTTCTTATCTTTTGCCTTTACCCACCTGCTACAATCACCTGCTAGCACAACTATAAACATGTAAGATTCTTCTACCTCTATCTCTACAAATATTAAAAATATCCATGTATCTTTGAAAGTAAAGAAAAATCAACAATTTATAATCTTATTTCATAGAAACATGGACAGAAGATTGAAAAAATCAACCTACCTTTATTCTAATTAGCTTAAAGTGTACATATTGCAAGGTTGTAGGCTTTGGTTTGGTTTGGTTTGGTTTTTGAGATAGGTGCTCATTACATAGCCCTGACTCAACTGGAACTTGCTATACAGACCAAGCCTCAAACTTGAGACAGTCCTTCAGGTCTGCTTCCCAAGAGCTGGGATTACAGGAAGATGCTACTGTGCCTAGCTAAGGGTCTATGTTTTTTATATATGAAAAAATATTGGGGAAGTTGACTATAGTCATCAAAGCACAGATGGAGGGCTTTAATTGTGAATTATGCTCATAAATAAAGAAGTGGGCTATCTCCAACTTGAACATCTGAGATTCTGGATTATGATAGCTGTTTAATTTATTAACTCCATGGAGCAATTTTAAATATCATATCATACCATGAAGGTATATGGGAAATATACTCAGAAAGGTTAGACATTAGGTATAAATGTAAAGTGTGATGATTTTTTCAGAATGATGCAAAAACTGTTTGTCTCATTCATCTAACTCTACTTTCAATCTTTGTAAAGAATACTTTTCAAAAATCAAGTCATGCTTTAGAATCATCACTTCTCTCCTACATCCCTCTTATGTCACATAAAGATCTTTTCAGATATCCGAAGGATGCTCCTTAGCCAACTTACCAACACTATTGATAATTTTGGACACAAAGAAACTAAAATACAGGTACATGATAACATGGCCAATATTGTTGCCCAGAAGTCTCCATTGCAAGCCCAAGAAAATTGTAGGCAAAGAACAGTGGGGATCCATCCTAAGTCTTCTGTCTTTCTCTTTGGCCAATAATACTTAGAGTGATTAGTACCAGAGTCATCAATTTCTAACGGGTATCCGAATGCCCACAAGTTCAGGGAAGACCCTTGCCAAGAGACTTAACAATAACCGTCAGATCTGGCCACCTGTGTGATTTGTGTTTGAAAAGTGTCCATGTTGACTGAACAAACACTCTCGGGCACCACACATCTGTGCTCTGCGGTATTGCTTTCATCACCCCCAGCCTGTTCTTTGAGAGCAACCGGCTTCATGCTGAACTCAGCATGAGGACAACAGGGCAGGACACCAATTAGTGGAGGCATTTGCACCAACCTGACAGGCCCACTGTGCGGGGAAGTTCACTGGAGCCGATACAAGAGTGGGAAGCGTGTCCTTCAGCAGTAAATAATTAAACTGAAAGGAAAAAGCGTTATGCTTCATAGACAGGAGATTTGATTCATGTTCAGGAAAATCCACAGCCTTCAGAAAGCTGATCAGTTACCAGTCCCACATGATCTGGACAAAGCTGCTAGGAAATGCACTGTTCCCTTGCACTGTACTTTCTCTGTCATCTAAATTCAGTTTTTGACCTTCAGTGGGTGGACATGAAAACACAGGTCAGGCTGTGAGTTAGCAGAGCTCTGAGTAGAAGTTGTCAGGACCCCATCTCCACTTCTTGAAAACAAACACCAGTCATCGTGATTTGCCATCCTGGCCAGTTAGCACTTCAACTTTGTAGCTTATAAGTTTTCATTTAACTATAATGATTAAGGATCCTATTTTCTAGAGTTTAAGAGCTAAGAATAAAAGTAAGGTAACCAGCCAAGTACGGCATGTAATTTTCTCTAGCAAATAAATTTTGCATGTAATCCCAGATCTAACTCCCACTTGCTCTATTTCCATTCAAGCTGATATTCTAGAAAATACAAAGAGAAAATCACAAGGCAAATCTCCTGTGTGATAACATTCTCAGAAACTTTAAACAGCTTTAAGAGATTTGGCCTCAAACCCAAACATTAACATGATCGCTCAATTTTAATGAGGTCAAGCAAGCTGCTGGGCAGCTGGCCGGTGCTCAAGGTCCCTGCCCTGGGTGGTGAGGGCCACCTTGTTCTTACCAAGAATGTAAGAGGTAGTGACAGGTGATAATGTAATGCAGAAAGCTGTTGCCCTTGGTCGCTTCATCTTTGAACCCCAGTGGATTCCCAGAGGCAATGGCATAGGTTCTAGCCAGATGTAAGCAGTCTCTTCATTATCTAAGGAGCTGAAGGAGACTTTTTGCAGAGAAAGATTGTTTTAAAGAAAAGTAAGTGAACCCCTAATATGTGTGGATTTACCAGCCTGAGGAAGGAAGGATAGAAACATCTGTGAAAAGTCTGAGTGAAGATGAAGGTGGTGTTGCCATGAGTATCTACATTACACCATTTAACTCACTCACGGTAAACATAGCCATCTGCTCATTGCTTGCCTGTTTGCTGTGAAAGCATCCAGACTCCTTCTACCCTCTTGACATGCACAGTACATTACCGTTATCTACAGCAAGTCTCCCGTGCAACCACACACTAGAACTCTTTGTCCCTGTCCTCATGTAACTTATCACCTGTGAATCCGCTTTCGTTTTGAACTTCAGCCATTGATCAATGTTTACCAGACACTCAACCCCCTAAGAAAAGAATCACAAGTTTGAAGGCTACTTTCCTGGGTAATAGTGAGAGTGTTAATAGGAAAACAGGTTCTTTGGCGTTCCAGGATAAGTCCTCTTCACTCCCTGCCATGTGGAAAACACTCAATAACTACACATGCAGTGCAGTGGCCATCAGCTTCACATAGGCACTGGGTATGTGAGGCATGGCTACTCTGACTGGGGAAAACACATTTTCTTATTTAATTTAAACTAACTTAAGTTTAAATTGCCACACGAAGCTAATAGCTACTTCATTTGACAGGAGGGTTGCTAAAATGCACACACCAGGGCTGGAGAGATGACTCAGCATTTAAGAGTAGTTACTGAGTTTGCAGTAGACCCGAATTCTGTCCCCAGCACCCACATCAGGTGACTCACAACTTACCTGTACCTCTATTTCCAGGGGATCTAACACATACAGATTGTACAGACACCTACATTGAGTATGTACACATACTCTATCTCACACACTCAATACACACAGTTTGAAACCATAAAACAAAAACCCCTTTTCCTTTAAAGTCCATGTAAAGCTAATGGGCTGAGAATCAGTCAAATCTGCTACAAGCATACCTGTTTTTGATTATTTTTTACTCTTTTGGCTCTTTGGGGGCCCACCACCTAGCTCCCAAATAAATCACACACGGAGGCTTATTCTGAATTATAAATGCCCAGCCTTAGCTTGGCTTGTTTCTTGCTAGCTTTTTATAACTTTAAATTATCCTGTCTACCTTTTGCCTTTGGGCTTTTACCTTTCTCTATTTCTGAATACCTTTCATTAATTCTTACTCTGTGGCTTGCTGTGTAGCTGGATGGCTGGCCCCTGATGTCCTCCTCCTTCTTTTCTCTTGCTCTTTTTTCTTTCCACCAAGATTTCTCCTTCTATTTATTCTCTCTGCCTGCCAGCCCTACCTATCCTTTCTTCTGCCTCACTATTGGCTGTTTAGCTCTTTATTAGACTAATCAGGTGTTTTAAACAGGCACAGTAACACAGCTTCACAGAGTTAAACAAATGCAACATAAAAGAATGCAACACATTTTGCATCATTAAAGCAAATGTTCCACAGCATAAACAAATGTAACATATCTTAAAATAATATCCCCCAATACATACATCAGTTTTTCTTTCATTTCCAACTTTGGTTGAGTTCTTTAACTTCATCTGCTGAAGAAATTAAAAACCAAGATAGAAAATCTCACCCTTTACGTGAGATTATCTTCAACATATCTGGTGATAGTTGGACTTGCCACCTATACATACACTGGGGTGTAAAAAGTACATCACACATACACTGTGCAACCTTCCTCATTCCTAAGGCAAACTAGTTCACTAGCAACTACAAATAGTTATTTAAGTTAATGAAAGAAATATAAAACATAAGAGCCCTT